AAAAAAGATTCTACAATATTATTATTCATACTCAACTTAAAGGGTTGGTCGATGCGAACAGCTAATTACCTACAATTATAAAAATTATTATGTTCAACGAACAAGCTTTGGCAGCATTTAAATGTTTCAGCTTGAGAGTTTTGGTTAAATATCTATTACTAGTAAATATTTCTCTTCATCAACCTAAATGGATGTAGGTTGTAGTACTATCATTATTCTTATTATCCTTTTAAGCAAAAAGAGATTGTTGATTTCTCAATCAAGCTGTTCATCTTGTTTCTTTAGCGAACAAAATTTTCAACCCTAATCTGTCAGCTATATTCTAATACCTACTTTCAACAGCTCCTTACCGTATTTTCACTTGACAAGTTCTATCGCCAAAGGAGCTGGACATCAAGGAAGAAACTCACAATGAGTTTAGGCTTTACAGATTCTGCTGTCTTAAACCTATCTTGAATTGTACATTTTGTAATAGCCAAGTATTCCTCTGGATTCAAATTCTCGATTTATATTGAATCAGAAGGTCGCAAGTTCATCGACACCATTCATAATCAAGGATTATTAGGAGTACTGAGTACTTAATCTCATTTCCTGTGGATTTATACCTTAAGTTACTATCATCTGGGTGTGCATAAAATCTACGTGTAATGTGAATCAGAAGATTAATCCAGGTACCTTAGGTATTTCGACAGATGATATGCGATGTTAATGAATGTAGACGTCGTGATCAGGTGTTACAGTGGTATATCTACAGAAGGCACAATTTATTAGGAGCTACCTATACCTGATCTTCAGACTTCCATTCGCGAAGCACGCAAATTACTGACTGCTATCCTCCACTTATCCTCTCGTCTTCAAAACATTTTGATCAGGCTACACATTTCCACTTGAAACTCTTCTCTTCGGTAATAAAATCTGGAAGACTCTCCGTTCAGAACTATTTGGAACCTAAGTTGCGAATATTATTTACTTCACAATGTTTTTGATGTTTCATAACATGTACCATATATTTTCACTTGAACTTGTTATATTTAATTTATCATATAAACAGTGCCAAGTCATTTCAATGTACGACACACCTGCGAATTATAATTTTCGATTGGACCAGCTGTGCCTGATTCATGTCTTGAAACTTGGTAATTGTTTTCTCAGATTACTAGCTCATTCCATTGCGCTTATCATCACTCTGTTTCCTTTGATTAGCTTGAAATTTCGTCATCACACAGTTTTGACGGTCACCTAATTCACTTAATTAATTGCATAGTTCAGGAATTTTCCACTTCTCATTAGCATTGAGCTTTTCTCCTTATTCTTCTCCTCATTTCAACTAATTGATCTCTGGACTGGTAAAGTGATAGCTGCTGGTATCCAGTAACCCTTACTTACTGAAATTACGGGACATAAATATTAATTAATAACTACCCTTTGACAAGATTTAGTTCAGTTGAATGTCTAGACTACCATCCATTAGACATAATCAAACACCCATAGGCGTACTTAAATAAGGAGCAAGAGCAAAGGAAGCGAATGATATAAAACCGCTCGTTCTAAAGAAACTAAAATCCTCACATTTAGGAAAGTCACCAGGTTTTCATAATATTCGCCCCATAGTCTTGAAACAGTGTGCAGAAGCCCTATATTCACCGTTATATTACCTGTTCTTGCATTCACTGGAGTCACATAAGCTTCCAACTGGATGGAAAAGTTAAACTCTCTTTCCAATCTTCAAAGGAGGAGATAGGCAAGATGCACTCTATTACAGACCAGTTGCATTACTACCAGTATTATCAAAGGTAATGAAAGGAGTGGTGAACCAACAAATGAGGGAGTACATGGATAAGAATAAAATACTCCATGAAGCTCAACACGGGTTTCGGGAAGGCAGGTCGTGCGCATCCAATCTTCTCTTAGCATGAGAAAGTTGGACATCCTGCTTGGACTGAAAATTTCTCGAATTTGCAAAAGCCTTCGATACAGCACCCCACGCACGCCTAATCAAAAAGGTTATGGAAATGGGCTTCACTGACCCACTTGTTTATCTGCTCAGAAACTAATTTGAGAATAGAAAGTTTCGTACCAAGGTAAACAGAGTGCACGCGAGTTGGCGAGTCTCAACATCCAGAGTCTCATAGGGGACCGTCTTATGTCTACTCCTCTTCCTGATATGCATTACCGACCAGTTAGACACAGCTAGCTCTCCGGCACTGATCTACGGAGATGATGCACAGAACTGGAAGTCCATTAGAAGCGAAGAGGATTCGATTGAGATTCTAAAGAGCATTTCATCCATTTAGGAATGGGCAGTGAATAACGCTTTAAAACTAAACCACGTTTTGTACATTCTGCCCCACATAACGCAAACGATTTATACCCTGAATGGAATCCCGCTCCCTAATAAATCCTCAGAGAACAATCTCGCTTTTATAACTGTAGAAAGCCTTCAGACCAGCCCGAACTATATGATGGATCCAGTCTAGGCAGATGCAACTCTTCACTTTATGCGAAGACAAGTTGGTGTCATAATCCCATAATTATTGTTAAGGCTATTTGATACATATGCACAACCACACCTTGAGGTTCAGAACGTCGTCACACCTCGCCCTAAAAGAGACATAAATCTCTTTGATCAAGTGCAGATAAGAGCAACGAAATGAGTGATAGGTTTGAAAAAATAAAACCCACGAAGATAAACTACAGCACTTGGGATTATTCCCCTTGAGTTACAGGAGAATCAGAGGTGATCTGACTATGACGTACAACATATGCACGCTGAATCATCGCAGCATGAGCATCTTACCAATGTATCACCACCACTAGCCTCGAGGTAATCCTCGAAAAATCGCGCATGAAGGCGTGGACACTCAGGTTCGTACACATTTTTTCTCATTAAGAGTCGTTACAACTTAGAATGATCTCCCAGAGGAGCTGACCAGGGGACCCTCAGTGGACAGCTTTAACTACAGACTTGATAAGCACGTACTCACATACGGAATATCACCTCGCTCTTGGACAAGCTGTAACTGATGCATGTCTCGAGACTTGCTTGTTGTTATTATTGCCATCTCCTCGCCTATTATCTGCATTTCCTCTCCCTTGCTTACATTTCGTTCCTCTAGCACAAACTTCAATGCCAATTAATAATATAAATTATCTATGTATTACTTAGTTCTGAAATCTTATTAATGTCATTAGAATTTTCTTCTTACTATTCTCCACACTGCAACTAAGTGATTTCTTGTATCCGGAAACAAACGTATTCATTCCAAATGACTAGAATTACTGCAGTAGACTGGCTGGACTACCTTCCATTGTATTCCACCAAACACCTATAATCATGCCGAAAGAACAAGATTCGAGCGCGAAGAAATCAACTGGTTTATACTAGCTCGTGAAAAGGATATTGGATATTGGACTCCAAGGGCACTTGTTGGTGGCGGCTATTTGTGAGCATGTTTCTTGATGATAGTAACTTATTCAGTTAATAATTTCACCGAAGACTTTTACAGCAAAAGTGTTTGTGCATAAAGTATCCTTATCTAAAGTGTGTTTGTATTGTGAATGGTTAAATGCCTTGTCCTGGACAGTATTCGGTTTTATTGCCACTCGTGATGTATTTTGAATATATTAATAATAAATCACAGATGTAGATGTACTCAAATTTTCTTGGAAAACATCCACTATATTTTATTTTTATCTCAGAAATCTTGAGGACGAAGATTTAAGGGAATTAGTATTGGTATCGTTGGTTACCATTTTTTGATACGATCTAACGTCTCGAATGTGTGAAGATTGGTTTTTTTTACATTCTCTAGTTTAGCACAAGGTTATCTCATGTTCTGGTAGTTAAAACTAAGCTGTGATTTAACATGTACTGCCTCCTAAATATTCTAGGCATAAATATAGTAACTTGTAAACTAATTGTTATACGTTGTACATCAGTTGTATTACTTGTAGAGACTGGGAGGATTCGCTAATCAGATGGCCACACAAAGTTAGACTTTTGGAGTACTCATTATCACAGGCAGTAAACAGTCCTTTACTTCTGTTTAATAAAAACGACCTTTTTGATGACATTTATATGATCTTAAGGTAAACATCTTAACACAGTCTTATATTTACCCGTTAATTGGACTGTTCTTACTACTTGCTTGTTAAAGCCCAGTTATTGCCGACATTTAAAATAATACTTTGTTGTAGTTTTGATTGATAAACTTATGGTAAGTTGACGTTTTCTTTCAGCCAGTATACAAATTGTCTTCACTGTAACCGACTTCCTATTAGTCTTCTTACTGTTTTGAATTTCTTCTGTAAAAGGTGTGCGGGGGTTGTAATGATGTTCCCAGTTATCACTGTGTTAAAATCTTTATTTACATGTGTCGTTTGATATAGGCGTTGGTTAACTATAAATAAATTTTAACATCCATTAGTTTATAATTCGAAAGACGTGAGAGTATCGGTAGGCCTTGTTAAAAGTATGCCTTAAAACTGAGTATGCAGTTCTGTCCGTTGTGGATTGACCACCGTATCCTGTCTGATTGTTAGCTGGTGTTTACAAATAGTCTTGTCCCATAAACAACGAGTGTTATGAGCGGTTGTGCAGTAATTTTGTTAGTTTGTGTATTACACGTGTCCATACATATACCGTACGAGTATATAAAGACATCTTGGTTAGATCTTTGATGACTCAATTTCTTGTTATCAGACGAGCTACTCAATCACTACTCCCTAAATAGCATAAATTGAAGGTAACGGCAATCGACATTACATTTATCCACAGACGACCATTTAGTTATATCGCGTTTTGAAAAACCCACGCAATTTTTACTCAATAGAAATGAATTTTTAGATGGTGATACGTTACTAGTTAAATTGATTGCTGGCTAAATCATTGATAACTTACTGGTCAATAATTTCACTGTAGCTACGTTTAATTTAATTCCTTACATTTGAAAGCATAACATCAAACCATAAACCATGTATTATTTTGATTTTCTCTTTTAGGGATCAGCCTGCACAAGAGTACGTAAAGTACTCAAATATTTTCATCACTAAAGTACAACATGCTTATCTCGATAAGGATGTTTCTAAATGCTACTCTAAATAAAATCATTTTATAAAGAAATACTATCATTATCTACAAAACAGTTTTGCATACATCCAAAATAATCATTTCATTAGCTGTACAACTATGCCGAATACAGATGATAACAAACTGAAGCTTGTAAGTGACCTGTTATCGATTTTTAAAAAATAAACAAATAATTCATTTTAGCGGCGATTAAATACCGATGTTCATAGTCCTTGTTATCTCCTTCATATTCGTGATGTCAACCTATTACTAGATTGTTGTATGGATTTTTCGCACTTTTCATACTTCTTGCCAAAACATCAACTGATGAGGTTTGTATTACATAATATTATTCATTAGTTATGTTAATTTCTTTTAGTCCTGGTTGTTCCGATCTACCAGATATGTGGGGCAGCAGTAATGATAAAGAAGACGGGATGGTTTGTTCTCTCTCTCTCTGTTTCTACTTTTTTTATATTCTTCTAGTTCACTAAAATAGGCGATATGAATTATATCAGTACAGATTTTAAATTCTGCATGTTAAAATCATCAGAGGTTGGTTTTTTTCTAAAAATTTGTTATTATTCATTTTTAAACATAATTTTAAATTCAATAAATTCATCTTAGATGTCTTCTATATTTTGGGAAACTATTGATGCAATCCTAGTATCAAATACACGAAGTATACTTGGTTTACCATTTCTATTTGAAAATACAAATTTTCGCGGTAAAGTATTTGCAACTGAACCAGTTGTTAAATTTGGAAAGTAATAATTTTAGATTTTATTTAATTTAAATTTTAATATTAGAATTTTAATCGATGATTTATTAAGTGAACTTGATCAATTGTTTGAATCTAAAGTGAATTCTGATCAATCTAAAGTTAAAGTGAAGTAAGTTTATTGTGTATTTGTTCAATATTAAAATGTGTAATGAGATATGCTTCATTCACATGTAGACCGAAATATGGCAGAAATCCGTGAAGTCACACTGATAAGTGGACTGAGTCATGTCGGTAAGGGTGTCGACTACCTGATTAGGGTCTGCGAGATGATAATAATCGATGGTTAGAGACCCTGGATGACATGGCTCAAAACTGTTTGCAATGGCACAGGCGCATTCATTCTTTGTGTTCTCTCATATCCTAACATTCAGAGTTTCTCGTCATTTTATCTTTTTGTTTTTAAGTTTATTTCACTAGATTCTACTTCTTCAATAGTACCGTCGAACCGTAAAATTTCCGATTATTGCTAATACTTTTACTACCTCTACTACGATGGGATTTGATTCTAAGTAGGATTATTAGTGTGGTGGCTAAGATTAAATGCAAGTCAGTTGCAACGTAGAACTTCGTACGTATGTATATAAGTTCATGTTGCCATACCACATCACCACAGAGACGCAAATGTCAAATCAAATCTCATAGTGATAGAGATAGTAGAGGTGTTAATCGTAATGAAGAAGACTAGGGTTTGAAGATATCATTCAAGAAGTATAATTCAGTGAGATCAGTTTAGAAAGATAAAGGTAGAGGTGCTGACGAATCCAGAAGATTAGGAATTGAGAGAGCACAACGAATGGATGCATCTGAACTAACTGAAACGGTTTTGAGCCATGTCGTTCAAGGTCTCTAACCATTGGTGACTTTCGTCTCGCGGACCCCAACCAGGTAGTCTACATCTACCGACATGACTCAGTCCACTTGTCAGTGACTTCATGGATTTCTGTCATGTTTTGGTTTGGCCTCCCCTAGCTTTCTGCCAACCTACTCCTACACCACAAAACATAGCTCGTCACGGCAGTCGGTGGTTAGGCATTCGTAACACATGTCCCAACCACCTCAACTAATGAAGTTTCACTACTTCATCAATTGATTTGCCATCCTTACCCAGTACTCGTTTCCTTACGAGAGCTTTGCTCACTCGGTTGTACCACAATATACGAGCAATACTTCTAAGACATCTATGATCGAATACTAGTAACCTACGAACATTTTCTACTCTTAACGACCATGTTTCGCATCCATGTAGGAGAACGGAGCGAACTTCTGCACAGTACGCTCGTCCTTTGGTTAGCGAACGGATATCTCGCCTACGCCATAAACTGCGTAAATTGGCAAAAGCTAATCGAGCTTTCTGTATCCGAGCTGAACTTTCGTCAGTCACCAGGCTATCAGCACTGATGAGACCTTCGAGATAAGTGAAGTGATCAACACGCTCGACTACTTCACTCCCTATCACTAGTTCAGGTGGCGATTAAATGAAAGATAGTTTAAGTCTATAGTCTGGTGGCGAAAGGTTCTGTTCTAATATAGAAATTAATTTCAATTTCTATTTTACTTCAAAAATTTTGATATTTATCATGTAACAACTATTTCTGGATGATTTGAACAAAGAAACTTGAACTTTGATACATAGATCTTTAAAATCCCCAAGTTCAATGTTAATAATTCTAGACTGAAAGATTTAATTTGTAATCAGAGATGTAAATTTCCGTGTAATTTAGTATTTCGTATTCTATGGGCGTTTCCGAGACACAGTGTACATCGATGGCACGAGATTCTAAAGTCCTAGCTAAGGAAGCTTGTTGCCCTATTCGACACATTGTCCGTACATTAAAAGCTCCAACATGTAGTCTAGGACGGGGTTTCAAGAGACCAGGAATGATGTTTCGTGAATTCGCTTCGTCTGCATTAGTGGTGCAGTGAGAAAAGGGACTGTGAGTAGAGTTCGTTGTGGAGAGAAGAGAGGTGTGTGTTGGTGTAGGAAGGATTTGATTTCGACCAATTTGGTCTCGCGTGCTGTTACGGTTATGAGGGCGGTTGTCACTTTCCGGCTGCCCACACCGTGGAAGGTTGTTTCTTGAGGAACCTGAAAAGGAAGATAGATTAGTGTTGGTCTTAGAGACATGACCGCAGAGCCCAAGGGACAACTGCTTGAGGCCGGTCATACACGGCCTTTTTATGAAAGGCTTTTTTAGCATTGGCGCCGCTCTTAAAAGCCCATAGTGGGCACCCTCACCGACGGAGACGGAAATCCGTGAGGTAGGGTGAGGTGTGACATTTTTAGGGTCGACCTTTTCTAACTCTGCCTTCCTTACTTGTGAGAAGGCAGCATCGCTGCAGATGCTTGTTGTCCGAGGGAAACACCGTACTGCTGTCACACCCCTCCATCACAGTCAGCAGTACGACTTCGCCCTCAGACCTTGAGTAGCTGCTTTTAGTCTCATCGCTCTCCACTCCACCTGCCTGGAATGGTAGAACCTTCAGGAACATATATTCCAGTCAATATAGCTCGGTTGGGTCATCACGATAGTCAAGCCCGACCACCACCACGTCAAGGTAGCAGCTACGGTCGGGATTTCGTATTCTATAAAGTTAATTTGTTGACTACGAATTTGATTACTATGTTACCAATGGGAAATTTTCATTCTAATGTATTACTTATTGCAGTAGTATATAAATCAATCCGTTTATTAAAGGTTATAAAGTAATGTTTTTTTATTTAAATTACTGTTCTCTTCATATTTTTTTTCAACTCTATTAGTAAATCTAGTGATCCGATTGATCATTTACTTAATTCTGCTGAATCTAATTGGACAAAATTCTATTCACGTGAATCAGTTTTGAAAGCATTGGATAAAATTCATTTAGTCGCTTATCATGAACCTGTGGTAATTGTAGTGTATTTTTTTAAAAAAATGTTTTAATTGGAATAAAAAAAATGTTTTTTTCTCCCGTTGTACTTGATTTTATTTCGATTAACGAGCATAATATCAATATTTTCTTGTTTATTAGTAGTCGAGCGTGTTGGTCACTTCACTTATCTCGGGAATCTCATCAGTGCTGATAGCTTGGTGACTGACGAAATCTCAGCGCGGATACAGAAAGCTCGATTAGCTTTTGCCAATTTACGCTGTTTATGGCGTAGGCGAGATATCCGTTAGCTGACTAAAGGATGAGTGTACTGTGCAGCAGTTCGCTCCGTTCTCCTATATGGCTGGGAAGCATGGTCGTTAAGAGTAGAAAATGTTCGTAGGTTGCTAATATTCGATCAAAGATGTCTTAGGAGCATAGCTCGTATATTGTGGGACAACCGAGTAAGCAATGCTGTCGTTAGGAAACGAGTACTAGGTAAGGATGCGAGAGCAATCGATGAAGTGGTGAAACTTCATTAGTTGAGGTGGTTGGGACATGTGTTACGTATGGCTAACCACCAATTGCCGCGACAAGCTATGTTCTGCAGTGTAGGAGTAGGTTGGCAGAAAGCTAGGGGAGGCCAAACCAAAACATGACGGAATTCCATGAAGTCACTGACAAGTGGACTGAGTCATGTTGGTAGATGTAGACTACCTGGTTGGGGTCGGCGAGACGAAAGTCACCAATGGTTAGAGACCTTGAACGACATGGCTCAAAATCGTTTGCAATGGAGCCGGCGCATTTATTCTTTGTGTTCTCTCAAATCCTAACCTTCTGGATTCGTCAGTACCTCTACCTTTGTGTTTCTAACCTTATCTGCGTTGCAACTGACTGACTGACTAACCTTATCTGACTGAATTATACTTCTTGAATAACATCTTCAAACCCTAGTCTTCTTCGTGATCATTAATACCTCTACTATCTCTATCACTATGAGATTTGATTTGACATTTCCGTTTGTGTGGTGATGTGGTATGGCAACATGAACTTATATACATACGTACGAAGTTCTACGTTGCAACTGACTGACTGACACTTTCGAATCACGTCTTCGCTCCCTAATCTGCTCCATTGCTGCTAATAATTCTACTATCGCTATCACTCTGGTTTGAACTGACAGTTACGCCTTTGTGCTGACGTGGTATGGCAACCCGAACTGATGTACTTATGTACGAAGTTCTGTGTTTGGCGAAATCAAGATGCATCATCAGTCAATAAAATTATTCGCTGTTGAACTGAGGTGTGGATAGGTTTAGACTACATGACTGGGATCTCCGCGAATTGTCCCGACCGAAGCTGCTACCTTGACGTGGTGGTCGGGCTTGCCTATCGTGATGACCCAACCGAGCTATACTGGCTGGAACATATGTTCCTGCAGGTCCTACCATGCCAGGCTGGTCGATTGGAGAACGATGAGACTAAAAGCAGCTACCCAAGGTCTGAGGGCGAAGTCGTACTGCTGACTGCAGAGGGGTGTGACAGCAGTAAGGTGTTTCCCTCGGACAACCAGCATCTGCAGCGATGCTGCCTTCTCACAAGGAAGGAAGGGTTAGAAAAGGTCGGCCCTAAAAATGTCACACTCCCCCTAACTCACGGATTTCCGTCTCCTTGGGTAAGGGTGCCCACTAAGGGCCTTTAT